AAATTGGACAAAAAACTCCTCAGCTTGACAAATTTATAAAAGGGATAATGGACACTTCTGTTATTAAGAGTTATATATCTATTATGGATTAAGTTTACTTTGCGAAAGTGCTAGAATATATGTCAATGTCATGAAACGTGTCTCAAACTGTGTAGCTCTGATAATTTCCAGATAAAAGAGATTTTTAAACATTATTTTATTATATTTCATGCAGTGTAAAATGCTTTAGCAACATGAATCATGATATTATTTAGACAATTTTAGAAAAAATCATATCTATAAATCTGTGTACCAGACCTTTAAACTTTGTACTGCTGTAATTGTTTAATGCCAGCCCCTCCCTTATTATCACTTTTTATTCGAGTATAGTCATGTACTAACAAAATGAATTTGTTTTTCGAAAAAAATTTAAAAAAAAAGTTAAAATATTCCCTTCCCATCCATAACATAGGATTTTGATCACTACCCTTTTTCCTAATCTAAATTTGTTCAGGTAAGCTGTCATTCCCCTTCCCAGGAAGAATAGAAAAATCTGTAATAGCTGAGAAAATAATTACACTCCACTGTTTATTCTGTGACTTTAATGAAGCTAAAGAGTTAACATTTCAGGCTTTCTGGAAAATCAAACTTGTAATACTTTTATACTTATTCTAGTAAATGTTCCTTTGAGAATTGTAAGGGGAAGTGATCAAGATAGAACGGATTTTCAAGAGAAATTAAAACAGAAAGGGGAGATAATTAAATGCAGAAAAGCAGCACTGGACAGTGTAGATCACGTAACGTGGCTCTGGAGATACAGGAAACAGGCCCGACCTGACATCGTGAGATCCTGTATAGGTCTACATCCACACTGGGACATTTACATCATCGACAACAAAGCTTACAGAAAACCTAGTACGTGTACATTGAAAATAATTGAATATTCACGGTTTCCATGTTTTTATCTCACATGCACTTATTGAATAAGTAAACTACTAATAAATGATGTAGTTGTGTACATGTAAAATCTTGTACAAAACAAGAGTAAAATTACAGAAGAATTTTGGGTTTTGCTAGAATACGGAACGGAAATTTTATGTCAAACAATTAACTTAGATTCGATGTAAATCAGATATAAAAAGCAATATCCTTGATATAAAAATCATATCTGTTAATAAAGACTTTTTCGTAAACTATGATCCACTGAATATTCATGAATTATGCACACCCTCAGAACTGGCAAGTGTACATGCGATGGTTTTATAAAATACGTACTAACTAGACTCAGATCCAGATTATTAATCTGAACGAAACGTACAAAGATAATTTTGATTCATAAAATAATACGTTATTGTCTTGAAATAGACATACGGGAAAATACTGCGAGTATGTACATACATACATATACTGTACATGTATATCTGTAAAGACAAAAACAAGTAGTTTTGATTTTCAGATTATGCAAGCAGTGGCGAATCAAGGAAGTTTGGGGTCGGAAAAGAGGCTTATAATCACAGGCAAATCAAAAGTTGATTGTTTAAATCTTATGTATATTTTGGACATCAAGTGGAGTGGCCTGGGGCCTTAGAAAGTTCTCAGACCTTTTGGATGAGCGGAAAAACAAACTCATATGTTTCACATTTATTTATCCCATGTTTGCCCCTTTATCCCATGGATATGACTCATTTTCGTATCCCACAGTTGAGTGTAGTTTTGACGTTACAGACGTAACGTCAGGAATTGCTACTAAACGTTGTAACGTCAAAACGACGTCAATATGAATTGTTAACGTGCAGTGTTTAAATACGTTTTCAAAGAATTACATGAAATCCAATTTAAGGAATTTTTTTATAGTAATTTGTTGACAGAACCTTGGGAAAATACACTTTTTTCGATAAAGCAGATCTTTTTAGCAATCTGAGTAAAATCAGATCTTTGTTATTGAAAGTCTGACGTTTGGTGTACGTAACAGGGATCTGATTTTAATCAGATTGCTTTTATATATTCCATTTATCAATTAATAAATCAAATTTTAGGTGAGTGCCACGCCTATCAACCTGAAATAAAGTGTTTTTTGTACTGTGTTCTGCTGGTAGACGATTATTCTCTTGATGTCAATGATCAGGCCAACAAAGAACTGATGGCTAAACTTAGAGAAAAATATTTCACAGATACAGATTTAAGTGACGAAATAAACATGACGGACATTCGGAAGAAAGTCATTGATAAACATGGAAACTTCTTTAAATTTAAATCAGACGACACCCGACATGACGTCATGTACGCCTTTGTTACGGAGTGTCTGGTGGAGGACAGTGATCTGGAGTTTTTCCTGACCACGGCGTCACCTGACGTGATATCGGAATACTGCCGGTCCTGGAATTATAAAAGGATTGAGGGAGAGAGATGTCTGTATGTACCGGACGAGCCGGAGAAGATGTACGAACTCTTCATAGACAAACTACAGCTGGACATCATCACACACTGTACCGTGTCTGACGAGGGGATTCATGTCAGGATCAGTAAACGTTGTGAGTATTTATACATTTGATTATCTTACAGTTATCTTTTTTTAAAATCATTTTTTTAATCTTCAATAGTTTAATAGTGCATTTAGTTATTAAATGAGTAAAAAGGATATTTGTTAAAGATTTTCGTGATTATAACGAAAAGTGTTTTAGATAATATTCTTTGAACTGTTAGATAATATGTTAATTAATATCTGTCAATACTTTTACCCCCAGAAACGACGGATAGATCGTTCTTGACCTGTCTGTCTGTATGTTTAAACTAACATTTTTCCATAACTGTTGATAGGTTGGTTCTGGGACTTTTATACGTCATATAATTCTGTATTTTTTGTGACCAGACATCTCATTGGACACTAACAACTTCTAATATGACCCTTTGACCTTGGAGTTTTACCTACTTTAAAAGACTTTAACCTTACCAAAAACTTTCGTAAGATTGGTGCTAAGACTTCAAACTTTAATAAAGTACTCTTTATCACATGGACTTCCAACGACTCAGAACGTTTGAACTTAACCTTAGAGTTTGACTTCCTTTTAAAAAAAATTAACCTTTGCAATAACATTTGAACGGTTAGGGCTAGGGTTTTTGTTCTTCCCATAAGTAATCTTGTGACAAACCAACAACCTTGACCCTTTGACCTTGCCCCGATGTTTGACATGCATCTGGAAAAAACCTTATTCTTTGACATGACTTTTGAACAGGCGACGCAAAGGATTTATATTAAAACAAACAAATTCAAGGAATTGTGGTCCCCCGCTTTCGGTGTCTTTGTGGGTGAGATGTCATTTTTTATGACATATTATGCGTAATAGGAACACCCTATATTATGTCATTTATTTAGAAATCATCACTGAACTCAAGGTCAAAGGGTCAAAGTTTTTGGTGTTCAATGAAAGGTCTTCTCACAAGGATTACGTATGTAAAGTATGAAAGCCCTAGCCCTTACCATTCAAAAGTTATGGCCAAGGTTAAAGTTTTTTATAAGTACGAAAAATTTCGAAGGTCAAAAGATCAAGTTTGTTGGTATCCAAGGAAAGGTCTTTTCACAAATAATATATATGTGAAATATGAAAGTCCTAGTATCTACCATTCAAAAGTTATGGCCAGAGTAAAAGTTTGGAATTTTTTGTGTAAAAAGGGGTCAAACTCCAAGGTCAATATGTCAAAATTGGTCGTACCAAAAGAAAGGCCAGAAAGAATACATATGTGAAAAATGAAAGTTCTAGCATCAGCATTTCAAAAGTTGTGACCAAGGTCAAAGTTCTTGAAAAAAGTCTTACTCAAAGGTCACTGTCAAAGGGTCAAAGTTCATGGTATCTAATGGAAGGTCTTCTTGCAAGGATTACATATGTGAAGTATGAAAGCCCTTGTCCTTACCGTTCAAAAGTTATGGTCAAGGTTAAAGATTTTTTTATAAGTACGGAAATCTCCATGGTCAAGGTCAAAAGGTTAAACTTGTTGATATCCAAAGAAAGATCTTGCCACAAAAAATAAATATGTGAAATATGAAAGTCCTAGTTTTTACCATTCAAAAGATATGGCCAAAGTAAAAGTAAGAATTTTTTGTGTAAAAGTGGGTCAAACTCCAAGGTCAAGGTCAAAAGGTCAAATTTGGTGGTACCCAAAGAAAGGTCTTATCACAAGGAATACACTTGTGAAATATGAGTTCAGCTTAATCAAAAGTTATGGACAAGCTTAAAGTTTTTGTGACGGACTGACAGACGGGCGGACAGACTGACGGACAGACGAATGAGATTTAATGTCCCCTCGCTTTTTTTCGTAATAAGGCCTTACTTTGGGTATCAACAAGTTTGATTTACATTTAGGAATATTTAATCCTTGACATGTTGCCAAACGGGGGTATCGGTGTTTCATACACACACACACACATCTTATTTGGAATAAACTGCATGATGTTGTGTAACCTGTAAAAGTAATCAATGAATAATTTTTATATTTATATATATATTCCCTTTTAAAGTAAACATTCCAGAGGAAATTTTTTCATGGGATCTCAGTGCCAAAAAAAGGTTTGTTGAAAATTCCAAACTGGGAAGAGTTGAAATGTTTCACGCTAGAGGTATGGTAGTTGGATGCGCAGGAGCTGGAAAAACCACTCTCCTTAGGAGGCTTCAGAGGAAAAAGAGAAAAAATAAAAATAAATCAACTGAGACAACCAAGGGAATTGAAGTCCATGAAGATTTGTTTGAAATCAAAGACAACACATTAATAGGTGAAATAATGATTTATTAAATAAATTATTAAGGAATGTATTCTTATGATACGCGGAAAATAACGCGCATTAAACTTTCCAAATGCTTATATTTTTTTGAAAGTGTAATATCCGAGGAATAATTTAAAGACAAGAAAAGTGTTTGTTAGTGTTCATCTAAGAGAAATTCAATTCTTTGAATATAGGCCAAAATAGATCATAGGAAATTTCATTAGAAATGCTACTAGACCATAAAATACCTCATAAAACTTATTAATACGGTGAATTAAAACTTAAATTGGCTTAAATTTTCTTGAAAGTATTGCAAAGTTGATTTTTTAAGCAAAATATGAGGAAATAAATACCAATTAGATATCTTGTACCCAAAAATGTTGTTCACCCATGTCAAAATTAGGCACATTTTCCCCTATGAAATTGCTCGAAAAACATAGAAAAAAATATTTCTACAATTAAACTTTTTCAGAAAATTGTAGTACAGTTTCTTAAGGTATTATGGCTCCTTTTCATAGCATGAAAAGTAGGGGTTAGTGTACATATAAGAAAGTTTTGATAAATTTTATATCCCCACCCCCTGTTTCTTTTTCAGCATTTAATGAAAATAAATCAAGGCATTTAGTCGATCAAGTATTTGTTTTTCTCACCAAATATTCAAAATTAGTGTGATAATTTCAGGTAATAATTGCAATTTTGTTAAGAAAAGATTTTTAAGAACAAAAAGTAATCAATTAACACATAAAATTTCATAATAATTTGTTGGATGTCCTTTCTTGCCCTGAGGGTTCTGGATTGGGTCCTGGTTTTTGGTGTTGGATGGTGGCTTCACAGGGATTAGTCAAATCCAGTCCCACTGTCTCATTCTGATTTTTATGGTTTTCTCCATCTTATTTTAGTGGTTCTTAAACTCTGCTCTCTTCTAAAGGCCTTCATTACTGATTCTTGTGAAAACAAGACTTACCTGTAAAAAATTATTTTAGAAAAAATAAGATAATTTACTGGTAATATCACTGTTCAAAAAATGTAAAATCATTATTTTGTCTATCTGACTTTGTTTTTATGAACCCAGGCCTGTAGTTTAGACTAGATTAATTTTTACATGTTCCATGATGTTTCATAAATATTCCATTTTTTTAACCCCCATAGGTCGCCATAGAATGAAGCGACCTAGCTTCTTAACGAATGTAAAAGAGCTAAAAATTATAGATGTTATCTTCTTATTTTCTTACGGTATGTCTATAAATTTTGGATAGAGATTCTGCATTTACAATATCAAAGGTAATTTATCATATACTAAGAGCTAAAGTTGCAATAAAAAGATAATACGAATGTTGTCGTCTGCACGCCTCTTGAGACCTTAGGCATAACGTTACGTACATGTATCATGTTATGCAATGTTTGAGTTTGCGATGTGACAGTATACTATGTATTTTGAAATCTTTGTATCTATAATGCATAAACATTGCTATTTCCAGTAAGTTTGAAAGCATTGTAAACCTACATTGTCGCTTTTCCACTGCGACTGGAACGTCGTCAACACTTCGGCGCTCTTGGCTGGCATGTTTTGGGTCCTCTTTCTAGATTGTACCTGTAGGCCTAATTGTTATCCCTGCAATTTTTAAATGTTTTGCAATTTCTGTCGGTTGGCTCTTTTAATGGAGTGCCATTCGGCATTCCGGTCGCTTTGAAACTGGCGACCCCGTCTTCTTGAGTCTTCCCCTCTCGATCATGTCAATTTCACTTGTCGACTTTCTTAGACCTACAGTGTATGTCGTAAATATCGTAATTTTTCCACACGTGTTGATCATTAATACAATGTTATAGAAAGATTTTTTATTTAAAAATAAATATAGTACATAAAAATCATAAAAACTTAAAAACTTGCTTATAAATTGTTATCAGTTTGAATTTTACGACATGTCTAAGTACGAAGACCCACTTGGGGTAAAATGATCATAAGATTACATCCTTAAATAATGAATTACTTTTCTTCTAGAGACAGATTCTTTGACTTTATAACATCTTTGTATAGGTCAAATTCTAAATGCGCAAATAAGTCTGCATTGTATTATATTGTATTATATCATGTTTGATTCATATTATGTTCAAGGTTTAAGTGATAATTCTTATGGAAACAGTTAATAGGAAACATATTTGGATAAGATATACAAGGACATACAATTCATATGCTGTTATTTGTTGATCCCTTTTTTTAAACAGATTCCAGTGATGACAATACAAAGATGCTGATCAATGGTCTTCCAAGTGACAAAAAGTTGATCAGCATGACCGACTTTGCCGGACAAGTGGCGTATTATGCATGTCACCAGGTTTACTTGTCAAGAAGAGCATTTTATATCGTGGTCATTGACATGTCCAAAGGGCTCGATGAAAAAGCTTGCAAGCACAATGTTGATCGTCACAACCCACAAGGATCCTTATTTCAGGCATGGAACTATAGAGGTACATGTAATGTATCAAATTCAAAATCTTGATTGAAATAAGTTCAAATCTGAGAAAGAAAAAGATTAATTCACAAGCTCTCTGCATTTAATAACAACAAATGAAAAAAGGTAAAGGGGGTTGTCCACAACGAAACAGTTGTTCACCCAATATCAATATTTGTTTCAAACAATTAAGTATATATGAAAGAAAGCTGAAATCATTTTTTATTCATTTTATTAAATTTAAACACGAGTATAAAAATCAAGGATTATGTGACATAACAGCTATCAGAGGCCCCCCATTTCCACGACGAATTATATTTAATGTACAATGATTTTTATAGTTTTCAAACATGAATGAATACATGTAAATGAATTGCCTTTTGAATAGATTCAATAAGTCCGACCGTTTCATAATTTTTAATGAAAGAGAATGGACGGGTGTTGCAACCACTATTGAAATAATTATATCATTAGTGGTTGAGAGTGCATTTATATAGCAAACATAGTTAGAAACCACTATTGAAATACGACCACTATTGAAATAATTATATCAATAGTGATTGAGAGTCCATTTCAATACCAAACATAGTTAGTAACCACTATTGAAATACGACCACTATTGAAATAATTATTTCAGTAGTGGGTGAGATTCATTTTAATAACAAACAGGTTGCAACCACTATTGAAATAATGTTCATTTTTGAAATAAAGATTTCAATATGGACTATCAAAATGACTATTAAAATCACTTTTGAAATTATAATTTCAATAACTATCTAAATCTTCATATAAGGACAGATGTTACAAACAAAGTATGGATGCCTGTATTGGTACATTTTTTTGTTCAGATTTCATTGAAAATGATGCAAATAATAAATTTCTTTCTATAAAGAAATTGTAAACCTTCTGAGATGTTCAAAATTTTGCCTCACTAGGATCATCCTTATCAATTTATAAACTTTAATTATTAATCTATATATTTTTCACCCAAAATTCAATTTTTGTGAAATTTTGGATAAATAAAAATTACGCGGTGAAACTTTTCTTTTAATACTGGTCGTATTTCAAGTTGTGTTCGTAGTGGTTGAAACCTATGGTAATCATATTGAAATGCACTCTCACACACCAATGAAGTAATTATTTCAATAGTGGTCATATTTCAATAGTGATTAATATCTATGTTTGTTATTGAAATGCACTCTCAACCACTATTGATATAATTATTTCAATAGTGGTCGTATTTCAATAGTGGTTATTACTTATGTTTGTTATTGAAATGCACTCTCACCCACTATTGAAATAATTATTTCAATAGTGGTCGTATTTCAATAGTGGTTACTAACTCTGTTTGGTATTGAAATGCACTCTCAACCACTATTGATATAATTATTTCAATAGTGGTCGTATTTCAATAGTGGTTTCTAACTATGTTTGCTATTGAAATACCCTCTTAACCACTATTGATATAATTATTTCAATAGTGGTTGCAACAGACGGGTCTTGGTATAGTTGTGGAATATGTATATCCGAGGAGTCTACGCAGTGTTTTATATGGCCATTTTTTGCAAAAAGCCGCTTAACAATTGTCCAATCCGACAAAACATGCTGGTTTACTACACCTTAACATTTAATCATGGACAGGTGGTTTAGGTTAATTTACCTTTTATCCTCTTCTACATTTCAAACTTGTAATTGTCAGTGAAGGCTGTTTATACTTACATGTAATAATACGCATGCATTCTCAGCGTGTACGGTTTTTGGTCAAGAAACGCACATGAAACGTGTATTCACTGATACTCGGAAATACGTGTAAACCTAAGTTACCCTACAAACACTTTACAAAACTTTAAATATGTTTATTTATTTATCAATTGTTTGTAACTGTGATCCCGGAAGGCAGCATAGTCAAGGTCGAAGTAAGAAGGCAGGGCCTAATTTTTACGGGGAATGTTTACCATGATGTCACACATAATATAAGGTCTTCAAAATACCACAACATGAAATACATGAACATACATGAAATTGATTGCTATTTCAAACAGCTGGATAGCTGTATACTACACGTACAAACAAACTTTCTATTACATGCCGTTTTGTCGTTTGTTAAATCTCACACAACATATGTAAATGATGCATCGATCGCAATGCACTTGTCAATGTGACGTCATCTTGCAAAAATGACGCAGTTTGTACACAGTGAGAGGCTGATCAAGTCACATTAAATGCTTTTTGTTCTCAAATAAAATATTATTTGCAATTACATAAAGGCCGTGAACTTGGATGCTCCGAACTTTCTCCAGACAAGTGATACTGTCGTGTGATTGTATGCAGATTCACTGAAAAAGAAATGGAAGGACCCTAATAAATCGATTTATTGCAAGGGCATAAATTCGATGTATCTTGTGAATTTTTTACACATAAACTCTAGAGGCATTAAGATATTTGAAAAGTGCGAACCTCATGAAATCTTGCACATGAATTAATTATAGCTATATTTAATCTAGTTGACCAGCAAAAAATATTCAACTTGCCGTCCAACAAATGAAATTTTAGCAATTAAAGAAGGGAATCTATATAGGTTTGCAGGACTTTTTAGGTCACCTGAGTAAACTCAGGTGACCTAATGCTATCTGTTTTCGTCCGTCGTCGTGCGTCGTTCGTTAACATTTGAACATTTTCAGCTTCTTCTCTGCAACCACTGAACCAATTTCAACCAAATTTTACACAAAGCATCTATGGGTAAAGGGAAACAAAAATTGTGAATTTCATGATCCCTGCCCCCCTGGGGCCTGAGGGGTGGGGCCAAAACCACTTAAATTCATGCAATCTTTAAAAATCTTCTTCTTTACTCCTGGACATTAAGCAGTCAAACTGTTTGCATGATTGTAATCAGCAATGAGTCCTCTACCAAAATTGTGAAATTCATGGCCCTGGGGTCAGGGGTCTAGTGCTAGGGTGGGGTTAAATAAGAAGTTAGTGAAAATGCATTATTTCTTTGAAAATCTTCTTCTCTGCTCCTGGGTATTAAATAAACCAACTAAGTACATAGTTATGATGAGCAAGAGTGACTCTACCAAAATTGTGAATTTTATGGCCCCAGGATCAGGGGTTCTGGTGTTAGGGTGGGGGTCTATTGATTATATAGTGAAAAAACATGAATTCTTTGAAAATCTTCTTCTCTGCTCCTGGGTATTAAATTAACTAATTAAGTACATAGCTATGATAAGCAAGAGCGCCTCTACCAAAATTGTGAATTGTATGGCCCCAGGGTCAGGTGTTCTTGTTTTAGGGTGGGGCTCTAATGATTATATAGTGAAATACATGAATTCTTTGAACATCTTATCCCTTGCTCCTGGTTAATATGCTAATGATATAATTACATATTTAAGGCCAGGATTTATTTTATTTTCAGTTTTACAAACCCTCCGCTCAAGGTTTTGAATTTTCAGAAAAAAATAAAACAATTTTTTTCTCTCCGATGTCAAATTTGAGTCGGGATCGAGATTTCAAATTTACGCACTCGCAATTCCGGTTTTACGATGAAACGATTGGTAAATAAAGCTAGATCTGAGAAGATAGCTTGGTTTAGTGTAAAATTCATCGATAAGAGTTCCATTCAAAACGTTTCACCCGTTCAAAGGACAAATAAAATGCTGACGACTTTGTTGCACAATGACATGCTGCTGAGATAATTATGCATTCATTTCAAAAGTAACTGTAAATTATTTTCCTCCCCCAGGTTTTAAACTGCCCGTGGTAGCTATTGCATATTGCCAGGGACATTGTTTAAGTCTCTGTTATAGCTTACAGTCTAAGCACCATTCTTCAGAAAAGGGTTGCTTTTGCATCAGATGTAATGAATAAAACTATGGGAGAAGTGAAGTCCATTTGAGGAAGAAATAAACAATACCCTGAAGAAATAAAAAAAAATTTGAACTATTAAAAGGCAAGAATATACAAATATATACAGGCATGTAGTATCATTTGTATCAGCCAGAAAAATTATTTTACACTTAATTGAAAAAATGTTGACCATACTCCCCAATACTCCCTGTCTGTTTTATGATAGGAATTATAATTTTAGGCATCAAGTAAATTTTAGAACAATGTCTACACATTCACCTAACACATATTTAAAAAAATGAAGATACATGTATATTGAAAGACTTTTAAAGAATTGATTTTTTAAAATATATTTTGATCAACATCACAAAATTTATATAACTTGCAATTGCCCAAACTGACAGATGATGAAATAAGCAATTAAATGTTTTACTTTCCTATTTGTAAGCATTATGTTTCCAGTGGTAAGGAGCCTATTAGGATAGCATAAAAAGAATGTGCAAATGTTAATAATTGATTTATCAAAAAAAAAATTTATTTCCTTCTCCTTCGGGACTTTTTTATTCTCATGTTCATAACTAATCCTAAACATTAAAAAAAATGCTGGCCTTATAATGAAGAAAGGGCCTCTTTCAAAATAGATAATTTCAGGGCTGCTGGGTCAGGGGTACCAGGGGGGTACTTTGACTAATAAAATAAATTAATGCTTTGAAATCTTCCCTTTGATAAGCAATGGTGTCTCTTTCAAAATTTGTGAATTTCATGGCTTTTGGCTTAAAACACGAACCAAATACAATCGCTGGAAAGTTGTTACATGATACTCAGGTGACCTATAAGGCCCGTGGGCCTCTTGTTACAAACTGCAATTGGTGTTGAAAAGGATTATAAATTAAACTAAGATTTTAACCTTGTAATGCCCTTGCAATATTGGAACTTAGAGATGACCTTTAAACTGCAAGTACTTGTATAATTGCAAAAATCAAATGACAAGTCTAAGAAAAATTTATATGTCCCCAACATGTAGATTTAAACCACATTACATTTTTTTTATGTCAGTGAAGTCCTAAAAAGAATCGCCCATCCTTATGTAGTATGTATATTTATCTTTAAAAATCGCTAATATTTCCATTTGAAACCTTAACTATGTTGCGAAATGGTACATATGCAGATCCGTGTCAAATCGGTGGCTCAAGTGCATGAAAAAATATTTATCAGAAACCTAGTAAAATAAGCCTTTTTTCCAAGTATGAAATTTCTTTAATATTTTTGCAGTACTTACTCTTAACGTATCTCACTATCTGACTGATCAATTAAAAATGTCGTCAGTGTTTCTATTAGATTATGAATTATTCTTACGTCTGAAAATCCAGTTTCGTCGATCTGTTCATAATGGGAAAGACCAGCTAGATTTTACATTTTCTTTTTAAAATGACAATTGAGCACAGTACAGTTTTCTCCTTTCATATATAAGTTGACTTCAGTGAAATATGTACAGTGACCAGACAAATGAGAAAAGTGTATCTACTTGGGCTTGTATATGTTAAGGGCTTCAAAGAGTGGGGCGGGATCAAAATTAAAATGGAATTGGGTGTAAACATGATTCCCTACCCCCAAAAAGGTTTATGTCTTTCAACTCACGTTTCTATTTTTTTTAAATAGTATTCGATAAAGGTACACACTATCAGTGATTAATTACAAACAAATCTTTGAGTAAAATTTGGACATTTAATTTTTTGTCAATTTACTTGGGGTCGTACATGTATGTCGCCTCATCTTTTAACCTCTTAAAATCGAACAGCGGGATAACGTTTCTCTATAGAGGATATGATCAGCTGTTAGAAGAATAGGAATAATGTCATGAATGAGACTGGATCTCTAAATGTTGCCTGAGATGAGATATAAGCCTTGGCTTATAAATTATTTGATAACATTTCTCGACCTCGGAGGCAATGCAGTAACATTCAGGAAAACGCAGACTTTATTTCCTAAACATAAATAATTGTTAACTTGAGAAGCTTGTTTTCAATTGTATGTATAACATTGTTTTTGGATTGATGGAAGTGACGTTTTAAATACATTTCACTGTACTGCTTACACAATGTACACTATGTGTGGCAAAAGTGATTAAACAAGGAAAGCTATAAAGAATGCCTATCCGATGAATATTTTTTTTTACTGAACTAACCTAGTGTGTTCCGTTAAAAATTAAGCCTTCCGTATTTCAAGCTCAAAGGCTTGAATGATTATACACAAATTCTGTTTTTTTTATGTATTGGCATTTAGTTTCGTATTATAATCTTTTGTTAACTGAACGGTAGTACACGCCACTGCAATAATAACAAAAAAAAGATCCAAGAAAAAGAAAAAACATTTGCCACTGTGTAAACATATATGTAGATAGGTGCATTATATATTTTTTTCCTTTAAAGTGTTTTGAATATTTAGTTATACCACTATTTAATTTTATTTTTAAAGACTATTTTCACTTCTGGCTCCAGTCTATTAAAACATACTGCGACGAAGGAGATACTCAAGCAAAGGAAAGAAATGAAGGAGGAAAGGGCGTTTTTCATCCTGTGATTCTCATTGCTTCTCATAAAGACAAAGTGGTGAGTTTTAATATTATTAGTTATTTCATATAAGCAAAAAGGTATTAATTATATACAGTTTATGCAACACACTTCACTTGCAAGAACTCTTAATCTTTTGAAATGGAAGAAGGTTTATCATTATTGGATGAAGTATTTAAAAAAAATGTCCAGAGATAAAGTGATGACCTTCACCTGACCTTCCATATTAAGGTCAAAACTCATTTAACTGACACCATCACTTAGCGACATTGTCTTCTTGATTCTGTGAAAATTTCATTAATTTTTATTTATGATAAAAAGATTTTGTTCGAGGAGAATCCTAGTTTAAGTATCTTTTTTAAGGTAGGATTCTTCTCTGGTTTCTGACTAGATGAAACATTCAAAGTATATTTTCTTATATGTCTTATATATTGAGATGTAAGGAATTTTAAAGACTATATTTTTCTTTCCTCATCACAATTGTACAACTTAAAATAGAAATGGTAAACTGCGCTTGAAAACTAGCAGGGACTATATTTTTGGCGGAATGGTGGCGTTTGAAAATATCTTCTTTTCTGCCTCTCAAAATTATAATAGAACAATGAATTTAGTTATAATTTTTACACAATCGAAGACTTGGAGAAATTTTCAAATGTAAGTTAAATTAATATTGAGGGACTAAACTTTCAAAATATATCAAATAAATATGATTTTTCAAACAAACTAGAATTTTATTAGCTTTTAAACGCTTCCTATCAAAGTGCAGATTTGAGCCAAAAATCCATAAAAAGTATTTTTTCTCTCTTAGCAAACGATCAAAACTTTTTGTTTTTGTATCATTTTGTACATTTATAAGACTACTTTATTATATGTGAAAATAAGAAAAAGTTAAATATAGGAAGCATATGAAAATAACTAATATATCCTAAAAATTAAGAAAAACAGAGAAAATTCGGAATAGCCAATATCCATTTAAGTTAAATTATTTATGTAAATTTGGTAATATCATGCTATAGACCCGATATAGTAATATGTTTTTATACAAAAAGAACAATCATTAAACTTTTGAAATAGAAGTAGGTATCAGATGAATAGGAACAGTATTTTTTATTCTTAATGTCAAGGAAAAAGATAATGACATAGACCTGACCTTGTCTCTAATATAAAATGGTCAAATTTAATTTCACTGATACTATGACTTACTAATATTGTCTTCTTGATTCTGTGAAAATTTCATTAATTTTTAATTATTAGAAATATGAGAAGAATCCTACCTTAAAGATTTATAGTAGTCATAATTATCAATTTTAAAGGTCAAATGAGTCAGTCAGTAAACCTAGTGTTATCCTTTTTTGTGTGTGTCGTCCTGACAACGGTTCTTTAGAACAGCTGGAGATATTTCAATTACTATTTGTGTATAGCATCGCTGAGTAAAGAGAAAAAGATATTGTGAATATCATGATCCCAGACCTTTAGGTCCCGAGGATTGGGCTTGAACTATCAAAATTACTGCAATTAAAAACACTCCTCTTCTTTGTTCCTGGACACAAAGCAATCTGTTGGTATATTGTATTAACCATTGTTTCCTCTACCCATATTTTGAAATTTATTCTGCTCCTAGATGATAAGCAAACATAAATACTTAGCTATAATAAACACGGAAGCCTCTTCCAAATGATTCCAACGCAGTTATGATAAGGCTGTCCAAAGGCTTAAAGTGCCTTAAAAATATGCATCTATTTTGAGCTAGATTTTAATTTCAATATGTGATCCTTGTTTGAAATTGCAGTCAACCTGAGATAATAGTTTAATCTGGTATTATGATAAAGCATTTCTGTAATGTCACATGACTGGGTTGATCACGTGACGGACATTTATTGTATTCTTAAATGTTGCACAAAAATCGCATCGGCACAAGTGCAAGATAAAACAAAGTTTGTTACATAGATCAATCCATCGTGATCTATGGTTCATGTAAAGTTCTATGGGCCGGTTTAATTTATACTTCTTCAGAAAAGGATATGGAGTTAACGAACAGTATTCAATCTCAATGATAAATTGTATTTGCTGAAACATGATAAATTGTAGTTGCTGATAAGGTCATTGTATCGACCATAAAACTTACGAAATGATGACTTCAAAAGAAACTGCTGATATCCTTGTTTCATCAACTTGCTTGTCAATAATTTATCTCGTTGAAGAAATTAAATTCAACTTACCAACGTAGGAAGGAGTATTTTCCACTCTTTATCGCGATTTATACAAAAATGGATAAACTACATACGATCCCCCAGAAAAATTCAGTCATTGACATACTTCTCTTTTTTATTCACGCAGAATATCTTCAATTTATCCTTGTCTATAGAACGCCTCAACTGCCTTATTTGGAAAACTTTTATTATATGATGGTATTTTGTCATTATATGATGGTATTTTGTCATTATATAATGGATTTTATCATTATATGCTGGTACTTTGTCATTATATGATGGTATCTTTTCTATAAAATATGTTAGGGAGTCCTTTGACCAAAATCAGGGGGCGCTTTGACTAAAATCAGATGACGCTTTCACCAATATTTGGGGGCAGTATTTTTTCTATAAAATTATGTTAGGGGGCGATTTGATCAAAATCATGGGGCTCTTTGGCTAATATCAGGGGACGCTTTGACTAGAATTAGGGAACGCTTTGACCGGGACCATTTTATTATGGAGCACTTTGACTGGCTCCCCTAGACGCTTTCACTGAGAATCGCGGAACAGCGAATTAGTGCAATTGCAAGTTCTCGGGCCTTCCCGACTGGCGGAAAAACGACCTCGAATGTGTATATGGTAGACGCCATGACAACCCTCCTTTTTAACGATCTTTGAAATAAATGCATGGAGACCTTTTATCTGTGGAATATGGCGTTTAACTTTATTCAATGTAATGATATTACTTAGAATATACTATAGAAGGGGTTTCTATATTAGTCTATCCTATATATGAATAAGCAGGAAGATGTATAAAATTTTAACATCCGCTGATGTTAATACATTCGAAGTTGTTTTTCCGGAAATACCCGAGATTATGCGATTGCGAATAAGTGCTATAGAGACAAGCGTCTTAATCATCGAAACTACAAACTAGAGGTACTGTGAGCAATGAGCTCACTAAATGATACCCCCCGCCTCCAATATGATTATAATGACAAAGTCCATGTTTTGCGATGGCCAGGAAACCAAAAATATTTGTCGGATCAAAAAATAAAATAGGAGGTGCACAATGGCAATATGTAATAAAGATTCTGTGAAAGTTTCATTAAATTTCACTCAGTGGTTTAAGAGGAGTTGAGGATAAGAGATGGGTACCCCAAAGCGTAACAGACGGACGGACTGACGGACGGAATTAACGATTACTACTGTATAGGTGAAAATTAACTCGCGGTGTTGATATTCGCTATATTCACGGTGTTAACAAATCCGTGAAATCAAGAAATAGTGAATAAATTTTCAATAATCTCCATGTTTTATTTGGAAAATTGAGAATAGACTACGATAGATTTATATAGATGTTCGTGCAGTCCATGGTCATTTCAGTAATTGCGAGTAGTACTGTCATTCAATTAATTTTAATTATCACGCTTTACTTTAATTCAAATCGGCAGATAATAATTAAGCTGTTTCAATAGCCAACGCTACATGTTTCATCAATCAAAACACCTGGGCCATGGGTTTTGATTACCCGTGCGTAACTAATGTTACCACGTGTATTTGTTACCTGCATTCTCATGCATATTAGTTCATGTAGGTTTTATCTTCATTTTGGTTTTTAAAAACCATTCAAGTAAATATCGAACTTACTGACGAAGGAAGTGTGGAAGGATATTATTTCATTGAACTACATAAAAACTTTTATTTCCGTCCAGTGGTTTTTCGCCGCGTTGTATTGAAGATCTCGGGTACACATGCACTCATCGTAATAGCATATATAAAGGAAAGTCATTTAACGTTTAGGGACTATTAATAACTGCACTTGTGTTAATTAATTATTTATAAAATCTAACAATTTTATAATAACTTCCTCTGTTGTTCGTGAAATAAAGACATAACGCTTATTAATGTCGTTTACATGTAGCTATGGTATGGATTGAATGGAGACAAGGGAAGTAACTTTTATTACATACCAAATTCCGCGAATTCAAGAAACCGCCATCGTGTCAGATGAGAGAAAACCGTGAAAATTACAACCCGTGAAAGTAATCCCCTATACAGTATATACCCTCCCGCTTTTCAAGCGGGGGGTATAATAATGACAAAAAAGTGGTAGCATATAATGAAAAGTAGTATAAAGAAGAAAAGTAGTATAAAGAAGAAAAGTAGTGTAAAGAAGAAAAGTAATATAATGAAAAGTAGTAGCATATAATGACAAAATACCATCATATAATGACAAAATACCATCATATAAAGATAAAATACTATCATATAATGACAAAATACCATCATAAAATGATAAAATACCATCATATAAAGATAAAATACCATCATATAATGACAAAGTATCATCATATAAAGACAAAATACCATCATACAATGTATAATGATAAAATACCATCATATAATGATAAAATACCATCATATAATGACAAAATACCATCATATAATGAAAGTTCTCCACATAAGGAGTTACGGCGTTCCATACTTGTCTTTCACTTGTGCCAGTCAAATATAAACACGATTCATAAATTCTAAATCTGTCTACGGACAAGTACAGGCAACGTTTCACACTTAATTTTTCGCTCCTTTTTGAATATGTGGATATTGGACTAGCGAAAGAAAACGTTGTATCTGTAATTTAAATGTTTACCATCATAACAGCACATGGAGCATAAAAACAATCCCAGCACTTGAATTAAACAATAACGCCCCCCAAAAATCTACATGCCATGTGTAAAAATTATGACACTTTCCCCGTCATGTAAGCACTAGTATGCAGTGACTTTACGCGTCAAATTATATCATGACGTCATACCAAAGTAATACAAAGTAGTAACTTCAGTTTGACCAGATTGATATTTTACGGACAGCCTTATCCTATCCGCGAAAGGACTGGTCTCCATATTCCACATTGGGATTCGAACCCAAGACCTATGGTTTTAACTCCTTATCTCGCAAAGAAAGAGCTGCGCCATGTGGGCGGATAATTTTGCTTGTAAATCTCTAAGAAAAAAATGACAAAACTTTTACAGAATCTTTAAAGGGTCGGTTGATTTAAGGATGTGTATACTCGTGTTTCCTCTTTAAAAAGTGATTAAATATTGTCGGGTAAACTTATGGTTTGGAAGAATTGCGTAAAAGTTTTTATACTTTATCATGTTTAGCGAGTGATCACAAATAGCCTTGGTGACTATGGGGCATAACGTAGCTAGTTATAATTCACAAATAACTACGTTGCATAGCCAAGTTTTTCTGTTCGTTTTAATGAAAGCCTTAGACAAGTGACAAATACATAAATGTATATATTGAATTGCTTACACACAAGGCAGGTAAAGCAAGATACAGAACAACCAAAGTTGGTCTGATATATGTTTCAGGTTTCGATTATTTTCAAAAAGCAAAGATTCATTAAAATTTGTAACCGTACGTGGCAAGAAGTATAAGTGTTTACAGAGAATAGTAATGTATTAATATTTTTACAGTGTACATGCAGAAAAAATTCTTTCCGAGGAAACTAGTTTTAGACACGAGTCGTTATTTACGTTGTGTGTAAATTTCACCATTTATCTTAGTTTTAAAGAATCAATGATATATTTTTCAACATTCATTCAATAGTCAACACATTTAAATGATATTTCAATTAAAGAGTTGGCGTAGGAAGGAAGAGTCATTCTACGGGCAATTGGAAAAATGCTTATCTGAAAAGCAAACCTTGAAAGAACTTATTTCCGTAGGAAGATATTTTGAAGTTGAATGCCCGGAAAAGTCATTGACAAATAAGCAGAAAGAAAAAATAGAAAAAGTGAAAAAATGTATTGTTGAAACTGTAAAA